GCACATATGTGTATCAAAAGCATTTCCAATTTGTGGAAGAAATACAATACTTTCTCAGCATGACATTTAAAGGTACTAGGATATGTCTTCATCAAAATTGAGCAGTGTTTAGCTTTTAATTTTTTACATGGGATTATACAGAGGAAATTAGTTATGTGTTGTAAACAGTGATAACTATGGCAAATGTATCAACAGAAAAGAGGGCTATGTCTAAATAAAATATTGTTCTTTTCAGGGAAAGCGCTGTGTACCTATGGGCAATGGAAAAAATCATTTTCAAACTGAAAACCACTTTCTTTTAAAATGCTTTAAAAAATGTCTTTCATAAAAGTATAGTATTTTCACTAAATTTTTTTTTATGTCTGACTTTAATATTCCCTATCCACCAACTCTTTCAGCCCCACTCCTTTGATCTATCCTAATGTAAACTTCCTCAATGACGTAATATTTTTTTTCCAGTTTGGTTGTAGATTTCAGTCTATCTTCACTCTAGTCTAAAACTACGCACTATTTTATTTACTGATCTTTTTCATCTCCAAGACGATTGTGGAATCCCAGTAGATGAATTTTCTAAGTCTTTAATTTAGAATAATTAACCAAATTTTCCAAATCTTCTGTCCCCTCCCCTAGCCTGCATCTAGGGTCCTTTTCTGATAAAAATGAAAGCCCATTACAAGTCTTATGCCCACATTTTTCTCTGTACTTTGAGTTTCATAATTCTATCTAAGGGTCATTGACATCTCTCTGGAAAACCATGTTTAGTTCATCATGGTTTTTGGTCGACTGTTATAAATGGTGATGAAGTCTTTTCCTTGGTCAAGTTCTGGACCCCTCAGTACTGCCATTGCCATATTTAATTAAAACACAAGGAATGAAGGGAGGAAATGCACCACAATGTTTACTGCATGGTACCTCTGGGTAATGGGACTATGACTAATTTAAATTTATTCTGCATCTAAAAATTTTTCCATAATGAGTATATGTCATTTTTTAAAAAAAATTAGGACAAGAAAACCCTGTAAGCAGTGATTCTGTGTCCTCAGACATCCAAGTTAATTTTCCTTTCGCCAGCTTCATTCTCCTTCAGTTCATCTTCTATTCTCTTTCTCTGATGCAAATTTCACCTTGATTTCTTGTTCAAAATACTTTGTGGTTATTATGAACATTATTGATTAGGTCAACTATGAACACTATTGATTAGGTCAACCATTAGGCACATAAAGTCTGCTATGTTACAGTGCCTGCTCATCTCTACACTTTTTAAAAATATGCCCTAGGATTTCATTCCTCTATCTTGTTGCTCATGCCTTCCCTTTTGGGGTCCACCTGATATACTAGGTGTACTTGCATCCTTCAGTGTAGGATGGTTCTACAATATCATGTACTTCAACTTTGCTGTACATCACACAGAACTTGATGTTCCTTTATTTTTTTTCCCTCCCCATTCATTTATTTTCCCATTGCATTTGGGCATACTAACTGCCATTAGGTGTTCTATTAATAATGTATATATACTAGTATGAGGCTGTTCTGTTTACCTCTCTATTACCAAGAACCATGAAGTAGTAGACTTCAGAGAATGTTTATACATTAATATATTAAGGAAGACAGAAGATTTAGCTTAAACTTTGTTTCTCTCGACAAAACAAAACAAAAATCCCATCCCCACCTTCCACCCATTAACACAGCACTGCCTCTGTATCAATGAGGCTTATGATCTGTCATTCTCTGTCATCTTTTCTGTTGTGGGAAGTCTTGGGAATGAGCCTGTATTGCCCTTACTCCTGGCCACCTTTGTACGGGTGTTACAGGGTGCTCATGCAGAACTTCCTGTTCTATATAGACATGTGACTTAAGAGACAGCTTCCTCCAGCCCGGGCGACCCTTTAACTCTCTGATTGAACATGTGATTGAAGGGCTAAAGTAAATCAATTTTACTCAGGTTAAAATGTGAATGCTCAAGTTTTGAAAAGTGTATATGTAATATTTTAATGACAAAAAAGAAATCTTAACTTAGATATAGTGTATTTATATTAAAATGAACATTTGCCTTTATTTCATGTACCTTTTATAAACTAAAGAGAGGGATGGAACAGACGGCTTTGCCCCAGTTGTATTTTACTCAGTATTATTGATTACTTTAAAATTTTCAATCCAGAAAACTGCAATGGTTAGAAGGTCAGACACTACTCATATCAACCATAAAAATAATGTGGAGAGTTTACCATGAAGTCCTTTTTATTACATGTGGTTTCCATTGTCTTTTTCCAAGAAGAAAATGGCCAGGGTCCAGTTTTCTTTGAGAATCCATAAACAGTTTTTGAACCAAATCAGGCATCACGTGTAACCTGAGGAAAAGCCTTTGCTCCTTGGCATTATTAAAAAGCTACTACTCTTCAGGCTAAGTGGTCTTCCTGAGGTTGCCCACTATGTGTAGGTCATTCTATTCAGCTGCATAAGCAATTTCTTTAAAAGACGGCAGGTTTTTCTACAACACCAGCATTATTTCAGCAGGAGAAGGTAGTATTTGATGTGTTGCAATTTGTATTACAAGTCCATGGGACATACCTGGACGTTACCTCTGGAGGAGGGGTTCCAGGAAGGAGGAGCTGTGGCTGAAGACATTTAATGGCAGAATGAATGGAAATCCACAGCCCACAGTGCTGTCAGCCTTAGACACTTGCAGCACCTCCCCTGCTTTCTTTCACATTGATTAGAAAAACCTCACAACAAAACTCTCATACAATATCTATCATTATATTTAATCTTAGTGAAAAATCATCTTCAAAATGACGAGGATTTTGACAGCTTGCCGAGTGGTGAAGACGCTGAAGGCTGGTTTTGGCTTTACCAATGTGGCTGCTCACCAACCATGGAAATTTTCAAGGCCTGGCATCCGACTTCTGTCTGTCAAGGTAATACTCACAGTCATTGTTTCTGATAAAACTGTAGGGAGTGCAGTTTAGCTGTGGAGTAAACTTTGTTCCTTACAAAGCAAATACAGTTTTCAACGTCCTCCTGAAGTGCCCATTACTAATTGCTTTACTATAGAACCGACTGATTTAGCAAATGTTCGTTTTTATCTTCTCTGAGTAAAATTACAGTCATTTTTTGCTCAATGTACAAAATGGTCACAACTCCTATGGATATGTGAAATGTAAGTGGACTGGCTAGAAAAGAAACATTTTTAGAGCTATCATAATTCTTTCTGTGCTTAGACACGACTGCTGATAGTTTGGGATCGAAACATAGAGTTGCTTAAATGTGTGGGAGCTACATCACAGCAAGGAGTGTGTTAAGCCCCTCACCCCCATTCTGTAAATAGGGCTTGCTGGAAAGTTTTTCTTTTTTAAAAATATTGTTTTAAAAAATTTGGAAAAGATCCCTGTAGTTTTGATATTTGCAGGTCATTATGCAGAGAGTTCAGCTTTTCCTCTCAGCTATTCATTTAGATGGCCAAACGTATTATTTTCCTTTTGAAAATTAAAACACTGAAGACAATAGCAGCTGATTATTCTGTCCCTCCGAGTGTGTCTATAACCAAGAGAGCAAGTCCAGGACAGGAGCATCCAGTGCCTTTTGTCTGCTCCCATCAGGGAATTATGAGATTCCTGTGGGAACCTCTGTCTCTTCCTATGGCTTTATGGAGACATTTATTTATTACTAGGGAAATGTGAAAGTACTTCCTGGGAACTTTGCCGGTGAAAATCATCTTTAGTGAATCTAAAGTTTAAGTTAGCACAGTAGCTTTGTGTATACTGCTTCCTTAGAGTCTTAGCTATAAAATGTGAAGTTGAAAAAAGCCCCACACCTCTGCTGATGTGAAAATATCCTCTAAGAGTTGTGAGTGTTTTGCTTATACTTTGTACACTGACTGTGTTACAAAAATCTCTGAGATGCTACCACAACTTCTGCTTAGGTGGCTCAAGTCTGAATTCAGAGGGGTTTTAGTCCTGATACTGGCCAGGCTAAGCCAGGAACACCAGATATTCTTGTGGGCTCCAGGAGTAGTAATGGGGAAGGAATAGCAGTAGAAGGAAAGGAAGAGAGAGGGAGACATAGAGGGACCAGGGGGAAGAGTGTTGGGAGGTGGAGAGAGAGAGACAGAGAGAGGGAGAGAGAGAAAGAGGGAGAAGCTGGTACCGTATGATCCCAGGAGGATATAGGACCATCACTGACATGCTAATAACTTTAGCCTTTCATATAGAGAATAAGAAACCTTTTTCAACTAAAAAATAAGCAGGAAAAAACCAGTTTCTTGGATTCAGTTTAATTATAGCAAAAGAACCAGAAAGGAGAATATTCTAAATCATAATCAAAGATACAGAGAGTGCCAAAAACACATTTTAAGAAAGGTAAAAAGTCTTATAATTGTAATACTCAGTATATACTGATAACGTTTATTATCTTGAGTATTATATCTGGTAACTCTTATAATTTCAGAAGGCAAATGTAAATTGAGTATTACAATTTTAATACAGTTTTTTTCTTTCTTAAAATGTATATACAGTTTTCGGCAGCCTCTCAATCGTGACTAGATATGAACTATGAGGGTAAATCTTTGGTTTTAGTTTAGCGTTAGTTGTACCTCAAGAGTACTCACATATCACCTCAGAATAAAACAGTCATGAGAAATAATAACACCTATGGCTTCTGATACTTCAAAGTTGAATCACTCGGAATATCTTTTTCTTCTCACCTGAGTAGGTGGGTAAGATGAGAGTGTCTTCATCAGATGTCAGGAACAGAGGATTTGAGCAACTACTTCAAGTGGCATAGACATGACTGAGATTAGAAGCCAGTTCTCCAAGACCACAAGTGGTCCACGCAACACAGGCATAACTACAACGGCAGCAAAATAGTCTAACTATGTACATGGACAGATCACTGTGAGAGCAGTTCTTCTAGCTTATGGTGACAGATCTGTTTCAAGGGTCTGTCAGAGTATACAGCTAAGAATGACAAATTTGTAGGAGGAAGAAGCCATCATTTTGTGGTGTAAAAGCCATTACTCACACTCAATCATTACTGGCCAGAGTTTTAGATGAATGCCAGACACGAAAAATAGAAGTTCTTGAACTTCTCAACAGTAAGTTAACATTTCATAGAGCAGTCCCAGGGGAACTCTGCTATCATTCACTTATTTTGAAGTAGTCCTCTACCT